CACTATTAATATTTACACACTTAAGATGTATGTTGTGCAGTTGGCTCATTGCTTGTCAAATAAAAGGTAATGTCTTCTGCAGGGTCAGAAATTAACTTTTTCATTAAGGGGCACTTTTTGCCCCCTGAAATTGTTTTCCAGGGGCTTTTTTTTTTTTTTACATTTGTGAGGGCAATTTTTATCAATTTTAAAATGTTATCAGTTGTATCTGTGTTGTCTTTAACCTCCGAAACCTCAAATGTGCCTATATAAATACTAGGCCAAGTTACATTAACAGAGGATAACTGAAGGCTTAAATACACTGGAGGAAGGTAATCAATGAAACCGGGAACGGGTGAGAACTAACGAGAAACCGTGACAGCTGATGAATGACTAGAGCTGAGGCAAAACAAGAGACAGTGAAAACTATGACTGACACTAAACAAGACAGAGAAACAGAACATGGCCGTGGCACACCCCTTCTTCTGGGCTGACGAGCCATTTCAGTTCTCCCTCCACTGATATGGGCCTGTATTCTTAAAGATTCTAAGAATCCTCTCAGAGAGCTCCTAATTTAGCCTCTTTTAAGGGTTAAGATGCTATCTGAATTACTTTTTTCTTTACTAGGATCTTTTCTTTCATTTTAAGAGGAAACATTTCTAAGAATTTTCTAGGAATTCCATGGCCCAGGGCCCGTAATTATGAAAAATCTTAGTGCTAAGATTTGCTCCTAGTAACAAAATTCTAAGAAAATTCTTAGAAATGTGGGTGTTTCCTCTTAAAATTAAAGAAAAATCCTAGTAAAGAAAAAAGTAATTCAGATAGTATCTTAACCCTTAAAAGAGGTCTTAAGGTCCAAAATTGTTAGGAGTACGGACGAGGACTTTTAAGAGGCTTAAGAGTTTCTTTAGCAGTGGAGAAAATGGACGAAACATGAAGAGGGAGAGGAAATGTGTTGCACACAATGCATGACAGCGAGTTAATAAGATGCTACACATTAGATCATGCAGGGATTATGTTTGTGACCGATCTTATTAGAGACGCGCTAACATCTCAGACACCGCGCAGAAATGCCATAGCGCCAGAAATGGAAGTAATCACTACATTAACTACATTAACATATTTGGCAACTGGAAAAATGCAACTATGCAGCAGTGATGATTTGGGTCTGTCACAACCTTCTATAAGCAAAGTGATCACACAAACAATTACAGCACTTTCAGAACCTTACTGTGTCGCTGTTCATTTCCTATAAAATGCGTTAAGTATGGCAGAATGGTAAATAAAAAATAAAGAATATACATATATAATGTGTGTGTGTGAGAGAAAGAGAGTACGGTAAAACAGGAAAAAATATGCCTGTAATTTCAAAGTGAAGGCTTATAATAGACCCTACTATCAAAGGTGCTCTTTTATTTCCTTCTTGGACAACCAACCAATCACAGTCTTCAAAAGACTGTGTCATAGCTAGCAACAGGGTCAGCCCCGCCTCCTCACTAAGATAAAAGTTTTTGTCTTTTCCTTGCTCAGAGTTGCTCTCAGATTGGTCCTGAATCACTTTTAAGCTAAGAAAGAAAGTTAGAAATTTTTAAGCTAAATTAGGAGCTCTCTGAGAGGATTCTTAGAATCTTTAAGAATACGGGCCCTGGAGTCCAGCAGCGTGACTGAAGGAGAAAAACACAGACTTGAGAATGACCTATCAATTGAATTATGTTATGATATTTGACATATGTGGGCTATAAAATACAATTTAAAGGAATTACATATATATAAGTATTTACATTAGTTATTTATATTTTTAGAGCTCAATGTTAAACTCCTAATATTAAGAAAAGCCTTGGTAATGAACTCAAAAATAGGTTATAATTATTTTCTTACACCCATTTAGTTAGCCTATAAAAATGCTGGCTTGTTTCAACCCAACTTTGGGTAAAATGGACTAACCCAACTTTTGGGTTAAAAATTTAATTAAAAAATTTAACCCAACAGTTGGGTTAGTCCATATTTGACCCAAAGTTGGGTTGAAACAAGCCAGCATTTTTATAGGCTAACTAAATGGGTTCATTTCACTTTGCCTCCTAAACTTTTCTTCTTTATTCAAACCCCTCTCACCTTCATTCGCCGGATAATTCTGCAGATCTGCACAAATCCCCAGGAAAAGCGAGGTGAGCGCGTAAATAATCCCGTTTTGATTTGTACATAATGAAACTTTAATATTAGAAAAGTAAGCATACAAATATATGAGTATATATTATATTTTCCTGGTTATAATTAAAAATTCCAAATAAAGCATAGTGTTATTGTGGAAAAATATAATACACAACATAATTTAAGTACTGTGTCCATTATTAAGGTCAAAGAGATGTTTGACAGTCCTCCAAACAACCAACTGTCCCAACAGGGTCTGGCTGCAGCAGGCGCTTGCACTCTCAGGCTTGCACTCTCAGACACTTGCACTTCCGCTAGCGACGTCACTTGCAGTCTTTATTATTTTGTTCTATTTATTTATTCTTTTACACAGCCAGGTGGTGTGATGGTGATGGTCCCTTTCTGGTGAGTTCATGCCTATATTTAATGTTCCTGTTCTGAATGCCTTTATTTTCATACGAGATGCAAGAGGCATGTCACACTTACATGAGGTTTGTATTTTTAATGCGTCTCATTCTGTTTGACACTGAATTATTTTATATGTACTGTATGTATTTATGTATGTATATTTTTATTAAATGAAACATTTTATTTGTGTTGCTGAAACATAATCTCCAACTGTCCTTCATATAATGAGGTGGATGGGGATAACGAGAACAAGACAAAATTGACCCAATTCAACCAATTTAGTGAGATGGAGGTGGTTACTCTTGAACCAGTACCAACAGAATGACATCAACAGCCTTCAACAAAAGAAATGTAAGTACAACTTTAAGTAATATGTCTTAATAGGTACATTGGTAATTATAATAATTCAAGTTGAATTCACTGCATGCTGGCTTTGTCATTCCTTCTTTTCCAGAAATCGTCAGACCAGACTCTGATAAAGACACGTCAGAAATCTACAAGAATAGGACACATGTAAGTCAGTTTCATGAACTTATTTGTAATTTGTTCACCCTTGCTTCACTTATATACATTTAAAGTATGTATAGTACTTTATAAGTAATAAAATATAAAATAAAAATTATAATAAAAAATAAATGTTTACAAAATGATCTTAGTTCCCCTTCAGGAACTCGAGCTGCATTGAGATTCGCTTTGGGAACGCCCTTGCGTGACCGCGTTCTGAAGCACGTGTAAAATCAGTCAATGGAGCAGCGAGACATCACGAGCGGCGTGACGTGAGTGCCAGGAAGTATAAAAGCGCATCTGGCAGAGCGCAAGTTAGCTTCTGCTCTTCAGTAGCGCTCTGTGTATGTGTCAGTCTATTTACTGTTGTCTGTCAGTCCACAAGCATTCAAAAGAATATGTCAAAGTCTAAACTAATATCTATGGTGAGCAAACAGCATTACAGATGTTGTGTGCCTCCCTGCCCACACTATCTGGCAGCGGGGGATACACACGATCTGTGTGTTGTTTGTTTAGGATCGGCCAGGAGTATGGCGGCCTCCAAGGCTTTCAACTTGGGTGTGATCGTGCGGCATTTTTGTGCTGCGGGGCTGGTCCTCTCCCCACACTTTTGTCTGCGCTTCTAACCTAGACCTGGCATCTACCCCAGGTTCCCAAGTTCTCTCTTCGTGATGTGCTCATCTGATACACACACAGGCAGGGAATTGGTAGTATGGCGCAGTGGGTATTCTCGTTCCCAAAGCGAATCTCGACGCAGGAAAGTGTCCAGATTTTAATAAGAGATTGAATAGTGTCAGGATAGCAGCTCTCAGTTTGGGGCTGCTGTGTTTCAGCATTTCATTAGATATTCCATCCAAGCCACTTGATTTCTTATTTTTCAGGGATTTCATCTTCTCTGTCAGTTCAGATAATTCTATGGGCTTGTCTAAATGATTTAGCTGGTCTTTTCTAGTGTGTTCCAGGTTATTTAGTTGGGCGGTTAGATGTTTTTGGGCGAGGGTAGTTTCATTTAGTGAATAGAGTTTTCTGAAATGATCAGTCCAGATGTTTGGGTCGTAGATGGGAAGGTGTTTGGCCTCTTTGGATTTGTCTAAATTGTTCCATAATTCCCAAAAAGAATTTTGGTCGATTGCTTCTTCAATTTTGTTTATTTTTATTTTGATGTGATCAGTTTTCTTCTGTATTAATAGTGACTTGTATAGTTTAAGGGTTTGTTGATATGTGGCTCGTATTTGTTGGTTTGCCGGGTCTCTGTGTTTTTTATTTGATAATGATCGTAATTCTTTTCTTAGTTTTTGGCATTCTTGGCATTCTTTAGCATCTTTAGCTGTTTCTTTTTTACATCTGCAATTTTTTATTTTTCTGAGGGCTTTTCTGGCTTTTCTGACAAAGATTTTAGTTAACTGTTCAGTTGCTGAATTGGTACTTCTCTTCTCTTCACTAAACGTGGTCAAGAGAAAGGAGTCTATCATGTTCTCAGCTTGGGTGCTGTGGAGCGCAGCTTCATACTGGGCAGGACTGTCTTTACTCCATATGAATTTGGGGGGGAACGGATATGATTTAACTTTCTGTTCTGAAGAGGGCAGATGATTCCCTGACCTGTTGAGACTGAGGATTATGTGACTGTGGTCTGATAATGGCAGCTGTGGCATGACTGTGAAATAATTGATCTTACTTTGGTCTATATCTGTGATGGCGTAATCTACTGTGCTGCTGCCTAGATATGAGCAGTATGTAAATCGACCCAGAGAGTCACCCTTTACTCTGCCATTAACTATGTAAAGACCCAGGCTTTTGCAGAGCTGCAGGACTTGTTTTCCATGTCTGTTAATTGTGTTGTCATAATTCTGGCGTGTTTTGGCCAAACGTTTTTGTTGATGATTAAGTGAACTGTTTATATATTTGTCTCCATCTGAGCCATCTCAGATGGAGACATCTCCATCTCCATCTCCTTCCCCGTTCTGGCATTCAGATCCCCCATTAATAGAACTGAACCTATAGACTGGAAGTAATTGATCTCTGATTGTAGGGTTGAGAAGATGTCTTCGTTATAATAAGGCGACTCATATGGGGGGATATATGTGGCACACAGGTACAGGTCCTCATCTAAACACAAAATCTCTTTTTTAAGTTTTATCCAAATATGTGTTTTTCCCTTTTTCACAGGCTTAATATACTGCCACAGATGGTCTTTGAGCCAAACTATGATTCCTCCAGAATCTCTTCCGTTTTTAACATTAGGCTGTTTGATTGAGGGTATACGTAGCTCTCTGTAGTTTGATGGGGTGTAGGTTTTAGAGTCTAAACGACTCCATGTCTCAAGTAAAATAATTATATCTGAACTATATACAGTGTTAATAAAATCAGGATTAGTACTTTTCTCTCCAAAAGCTGAAGAGAACATCCCTTGAATATTATAACATGTTATTTTAAACGATGACATTGGGAAGTATTGTATTTACCAGAATAATGTATGAATTCATGACCAAATCATGTTTTAAAATATAAATTCATCAAAATAGTTATATTTGGAAAATTTGGGGGGGTTTTTTGACAGCTTTTATTGGCAGATACAGTATAGAAAGGCATAGAAAACTATGGGGGAAATGGGAGGAAAGAGGAAACCAGCAACCAGCAAAAATGGAAAATATTGGCATCGCATCAGACATACGTGAGTCAGGTTGGAGGCTTTTAGGAGCTCCTGAGGAGAGCGAGAACCAAAGTAGAACAGATTGGGTGGTCTGAGACCCAGGATCCTGGAGTAGACTTTGTTCCGCACCTGTGGGAGAACCCAAACAAATATAAAAACACACACCTCAAATGCCACTGATGCTTGTGGCCATATTTTCCACTGTAGCTTCTCCTGCAGTGCGACAGTTATTATGTGTCCAGCTCACCCCCTTCCTGAAGTTGATGAAGTAGTGTGCCTGGTCGATGAAGAACAGCTCTAGTGCTGATCTCCGCAGGTTGTAGCGCCTCAGGTGGACTTCCCTTAGCTGTGACAATGACCTCTTGAAATCAAAACCAATTCCTGCAAAGATGGGCAGTCCACAGCATTCACATTATAATCATGAATCATTTCTTATCCTATACACTACCAGTCAAAAATCTGGAATAATTACGATTTTGTTAATGTTTTTGAAAGAAGTCACTTATGCTCACCAAGATGGAATGGGATATTGATGGAAATATTGTAAAATATTATTACAATTTAAAAGAAAGTTTTCTATTTTACTATATTTCAAAATGTAATTTATGTTATGGCAAAACGTCTCTGGGTTACGTATGTAACCATGGTTCCCCGAGGGAACGAGACGCTGCGTCTCTTTGCCATACTCCCTGCATCCCTGCAGGCGCTACTTCATCGAAGCTAACTTGCGCTCTGCCGGATGCGCTTTTATACTTCCTGGCGCTCACGTCACCCCGCTCGTGACGTCTCGCTGCTCCATTGGACTGATTTTACACGTGCTTCAGAATGCGGTCACACAGGGGCGTTCCCAAAGCGAATCTCGACGCAGCGTCTCGTTCCCTCGGGGAACAATGGTTACATACGTAACCTAGAGACGTTTTTTATGGCTAACTTTTTTTCCTTTTTTTTTTTTTCTTTTAGGCACCTTACCAATGCAGAATATGTGTAGATTTTTTCTTCTTGTGAAATATTCCTTTCCTTATGTAGGGGATCTACAAATTCTATTACGTGGAGACTTTTATTTTGACTTTCGACACGGGCGCCGCCATGTGGGGAAAGGCGAGTAGCAACTGAGCTCGTTGAGGCTGTGGATCTGAGCAGTGGCGAGCTGAAGAACGTCTTTGGGTAATTTTATGACGCTAATGGGTTGCGTTTAGACCCGCGACCTGCATTACAGTCGCACAGTGTTGTATCTGAGTCTCCGGTTGTTTGATGACCGTTATTGAACGTGTCGGGATAGTTTTTCTGCCGTGTTAGCACGTGAAGCGGAAGAAGTGGGCCTGATCGCGCCTAACAGTTATGCGGCAGTGTGGCAAAATTGCGTTTGTTTTGCTGATTTTACGCTTCAGAATGCGGTCACACAGGGGCGTTCCCAAAGCGAATCTCGACGCAGCGTCTCGTTCCCTCGGGGAACAATGGTTACATACGTAACCTAGAGACGTTTTTTATGGCTAACTTTTTTTCCTTTTTTTTTTTTTCTTTTAGGCACCTTACCAATGCAGAATATGTGTAGATTTTTTCTTCTTGTGAAATATTCCTTTCCTTATGTAGGGGATCTACAAATTCTATTACGTGGAGACTTTTATTTTGACTTTCGACACGGGCGCCGCCATGTGGGGAAAGGCGAGTAGCAACTGAGCTCGTTGAGGCTGTGGATCTGAGCAGTGGCGAGCTGAAGAACGTCTTTGGGTAATTTTATGACGCTAATGGGTTGCGTTTAGACCCGCGACCTGCATTACAGTCGCACAGTGTTGTATCTGAGTCTCCGGTTGTTTGATGACCGTTATTGAACGTGTCGGGATAGTTTTTCTGCCGTGTTAGCACGTGAAGCGGAAGAAGTGGGCCTGATCGCGCCTAACAGTTATGCGGCAGTGTGGCAAAACTGCGTTTGTTTTGTTTCGCGTCCAGTTTGTTTTTGTTCAAATGAACTTAAATCACGCTGGATACAGTTGCTTAGTGTACTAGAAGAATTCGCTGAAGCGTCGAGAGGTGCTGTGTATTGTTCGTCTTCGCAATCTGATCTCCGTCAGCTGGGGATTGTGCCCTCGTTGGATCGTGTTGAAGCTGTCAGGATCACAGGGGAGGGTAACGATCGCTGAGAGTCAAAGAGTGAAGAAACATTACCCTGCCATCAATTGGACTTCATTCAGCATCTCATCCTCAACCAAAGAGTGGTGATATACATTATTTTCTTAATTTGATTCTGAATGCTGGTAAGCAAGTCATTGTTTTCTCTTCTGTGAGTGTTAAGAACTGAACTGTGAACAAGTGAATTTTCCTGCGAGGGGAATTCATATATTTTCTTTTTCTTGCACTTGGAGGGACTTTTTGACTCGTGAATTTGTGAATGGACTGTAAATAATCTCTTTCCATTTTTTTGTCCTATTCATGGAAGAAAACTTTTGAATTCTTGAACTGAATCAAAAAGAACTTTTGATTTTTTTTGTTGTTGTTTTTAAAACAAACAAACTGAATTGAACTCTGATGTGAATTTTTGTTGAAGAATCTTGAGTGAACAGATTGTTCATGTGAAACTCTTTCCCCTGTGGGTAAAACAAAAGGGACACTGATTGTCATGTGTTGTACAAGACTCAACTGAGACGGTTACAGAGTTGTTAATTTACTGTCTTTATTGTTTTCTACATTTTTATTTCTTTCTCTGTTGATTGCATTTAAATTTGATTCACTCCTCCTATAAAAAAAACAATCACAATTCCATTAGCTTAAATAAACGTCAATATATTTAAGTTGAACCTGTTTACACAAATTTTTGACTCACTTATATTAAGGAGTGGGGGCGTCTTACCTGTTCTGTTAGATCTGGGGAGGGCGGGTTTTGCAGTCAGTTACATTTATTTCCTGAGTTTCCTGCACACACGCACTTCAGGTGGCTGCCGTGTACTAAATAAATCCTGAAGCCCACCTCGCCACATCTTGAGCATTTCCACATTGCAACACGACAGGCACCACATACAAGAGACCCTTGTACAAAGACTAAAAGCATTGGGTGGGGGGACGCCATTGCACTCCCAAAGCTCTTTCCAGTGGCAAAGCATCACGATCAAAATCCAGATCCTTCACCTTTGTCTCCCTGTCTTTCTCCGGTATAGCAGCCAATACAGCACGGTTGTTACTCATCCATTTTGTCAAGTTAAATCCTCCGTTGGCACACATACTAGTGAGATCCTTGTACAACTGCATAGTGTCTGTTCGAAAGGAACAGAAACAAGGCAGTCATCAACGTAGAAGTTATTGAAAATAACATCCAGTGTCTTGGAGTCAAATAGATCCTTTTGATCTGCTGCACGTTTCCTTGAACTTGAACAACTTGGTGAGGATGTTGCACCGAATAAATGGACCACCATTCTGTATTCCTCTAGACTGTTGTTTATGTTACCTTCTGGCCACCACAGGAATCTCAAGACATCGCAGTCTTCTGGATGAACTCTGACTTGATGGAACATGGATTCGATGTCGGCCATCATGGCAACAGGTTTAAGTCTAAATCGTACAAGGACACTCACTAGTGAACTAGTTAAATCAGGACCTGGCAGGAGCATACTATTCAACGATGTACCCTGAAAAGAAGCTCCACAATCGAACACAACTTTTTTTTTGGGATGATATACACTGTGATGGGGTATATACCACAGACGTCCATCACATCTCTCAAGCTCAGCCACAGGTACTTTTTCTGTGTAACCCTTCTGGATAACATCCTCCATGAAGGTTGTATAATCTGCATGAACGGAAGAATTCGCTTTAAACCTTTTTTGAAGACTTAAAGCACGTTGTTCTGCAATTCTCCTATTCATTGGCATGACCACTCAGCATTTCTGAATGGCAGACCGATGTAATAATAACCATTGATCAGTTTTGCCGAATGAGACACGAAATCCATAAATTGATGGTCTTCTTTCGACATTGCCGCCTGTTCTTCATGTACAGTCTCGGGAAAATCAGCCTTAAACTGCTGCTTCCACAACTCCTCCAACTTCATTACAGCAATCCTATTCACAGTCACAGGAAGTCGGTCAGCATCATTATCATCACTATTTCCATTCCTGTTCACTCCTTTGAGTGGTCTGTTAATCGTCCACCCAGACATTGTTCTTATGGCATATGGGCCATTATCTTGGCTACGTACAATCTGCCAAGGCTCCAATGCTTCTGGAACATTAGCTCCAATCAAAAGCTCAATGTCAGCATTCATTTTTGGCAAGCATATGTGACTCAAATGAGGCCACCGTTCAAGATCTTTCTGAGAAGCAATGTTTGCTGTGGTCACAGGCATATGTAGGGGATCTACAAATTCTATTACGTGGAGACTTTTATTTTGAATTTCGACACGGGCGCCGCCATGTGGGGGAAGGCGAGTAGCACCTGAGCTCGTTGAGGCTGTGGATCTGAGCAGCGGCGAGCTGAAGAACGTCTTTGGGTAATTTTATGACGCTAATGGGTTGCGTTTAGACCCGCGACCTGCATTACAGTCGCAGTGTTGTATCTGAGTCTCCAGTTGTTTGATGACCGTTATTGAACGTGTCGGGATAGTTTTTCTGCCGTGTTAGCACGTGAAGCGGAAGAAGTGGGCCTGATCGCGCCTAACAGTTATGCGGCAGTGTGGCAAAATTGCGTTTGTTTTGTTTCGCGTCCAGTTTGTTTTTGTTCAAACGAACTTAAATCACGTGGGATACAGTTGCTTAGTGTACTAGAAGAATTCGCTGGCTTTCCCTTGCTAAAACTTTTATTGAACAGCAGGCTGCCGCTCAGAAGGCACCATCTACTGTTTACATCCCTAGGGATCATAAGCTTCCAGAGTTTACCGGATGCCGTTCCAAGCCTGGTGAGTTGAGTATAGAAGAATGGATAAGTTCAATGAAGGTGATGAAAATTCTTCTTCAAGGTGATGAAAATTCCTGAAGAAGACAGAATTGAGTTTGTTACGCAGTATTTAAAAGATGAGGCTAAGATGACAGTCAAGTTCATGCTCAATGGAAAGGAGAAGTCAGTGGATGAGATTTTTGATGCTTTGGATCAGACTTATGGGGACAAACTTCCCATTGGCAGCAGACTGAAAGAGTTTTATGACCACAAACAAATGCCTGGAGAAACCATCCGTTCTTACGCTTATGACTTGCAGGAGAAGTTGAGTATCATCCAGAGCCGAGAACCATCTAGAGTTCCGTTGGATCGTGTTGAAGCTGTCAGGATCACGGGGGAGGGTAACGGTCGCTGAGAGTCAAAGAGTGAAGAAACATTACCCTGCTATCCATTGGATTTCATTCAGCGTCTCATCCTCAACCAAAGAGGGGTGATATACATTATTTTCTTCATTGGATTCTGAATGCTGGTAAGCAAGTCATTGTTTTCTCTTCTGTGAGTGTTAAGAACTGAACTGTGTACAAGTGAATTTTCCTGCAAGGGGAATTCATATAATTTCTTTTTCTTGCACTTGGAGGGACTTTTTGACTCGTGAATTTGTGAATGGACTGGAAATAATCTCTTTCCATTTTTTTGTCCTATTCATGGAAGAAAACTTTTGAATTCTTGAACTGAATCAAAAAGAACTTTAGATTTTTTTGTTGTTGTTTTTAAAAACAAACTGAATTGAACTCGTGACGTGAATTTTTGTTGAAGAATCTGAGTGAACAGATTGTTCATGTGAAACTCTTTCCCCTGTGGGTAAAACAAAAGGGACACTGATTGTCATGTGTTGTACAAGACTAAACTGAAGACGGTTACAGAGTTGTTAATTTACTGTCTTTATTGTTTTCTACATTTTTATTTCTTTCTCTGTTGATTGCATTCAAATTTGATTCACTCCTATAAAAAAAACTAAGGAATCACAATTCCATTAGCTTAAATAAATGTCAATATATTTAAGTTGAACCTGTTTACACAAATTTTTGACTCACTTATACTAAGGAGTGGGGGCGTCTTACCTGTTCTGTTAGATCTGGGGAGGGCGGGTTTTGCAGTCAGTTACATTTATTTCCTGAGTTTCCTGCACACACGCACTTCAGGTGGCTGCCGTGTACTAAATAAATCCTGAAGCCC